ATAAGATACAACTTCAACGCCTTGCTCTGCTGCCGATACTTGAATTGTGATTATGTAAAAGCAAAATAAAATAAGAATTCGACGTTTTGCCACATACAATGTTATGTATGTTTATGCTAGAGCAATAAATAAGCACACCTTTCAGTCTTCTCTAGGTTTTTGTAACTCGTATATGTTTCTCCAGGAAAGTTTTTCACTTCTCAACAGTTTTCGCAAAAGAAAAGTTAAATTTCTATTTTTATAGATTGTTTTCTAGCATATATACATATATATATATTTAGATATATATATATATATATACACAATATATATTATATATAATAAATAATAAAGTAACATATATATATTATATATATATAGAAATATTACGATTAATGTTATAAATAAATATGTAAATAAAATATACATATACAAATACTAACTTTAATAATATTAAATTTCGCGCAAGTGCGTTTGCCAAATGTTTTACTTTATAAATAAAAAAGTTGAAAATTTCTAATAATTGCAAGTTAAAAAGTATCAATTCTTATGCAAAAAAGTAATCTCTCTGTTTCTTCAAAATTTCATTGAAAAATATTTAGTGGTTCAAAAGTTATAACAGTTTTTCTAAAATATTGCAATTGCCCGAAATTTCACGAATTTTCCCCGGTTCCGCGTAAAGTCTGNTTCAAAAGGGCCCGGCGTCAAGGTGTTAATATATAATTTATAAAAACAATAAAAAATTAACAATATAATTGCTTATAAAACTATACATTACATACAATAGATAAATTGTACAAAAAAATTTACCTGTATAATGTACAACCACTGTTTGTCCAGTCTTCGGGTAGGTTTGACCTATATATATAAAAATATGATTAAAATAATATTCAATAATTTAACTAAATTTTTTTTATGTATTACTACTTTGAATTTTTACAATCATATAAATAAAAAGACATTGCTTTGTCGTCGTTGTCGAGTTTACTTCGGGTCTAACTCCGTCTCGACAAATCGTTGTATACTGAAATACCGGTAAGTAGGCTATGCTTACTCGTTCATGTTGCTACGAAGAACACGTTACGAACATATACGTATTAGGAAACGTTACATTATCGGAGCGTCAAAACGGCGACACGCGTGTAACGAAACCTTTCAAAACCGACGGAAATACGCAGAGAGCTACCTCCACAAAGTAGGAAGATGCGGCAAGGCCGCATGAAAAAATAATATACATATAATTATATACCGTCTCCAGAACTTAGAACTTCGACATCCACACCCATGACTAAGTATTTTTCTTCTAAGTAAAGCGGCGAAAAAGTCTCACTCTCCGAAACGGCGAGGTCTCAGCGAAAGTCTCGGTGGGTTTTATTGACTCGTTCGGACTAATTAGCGGAATTCACATAAAAGGCCACTGCGCTTCGGAAAACGATGCCGCTCCAGTACGCCGTTCGGTTCGGTTCGGTGTGATGTTGGCTAGAGGCAGAGATGCCAGATTCTGAACACTTGGTAGCATGGTGTAAGTATACAGGTGAGTTATTGCGCATAGAGACGGCAACGTGGTGGGGACAGCCAATCACATTTTTGGCCAAAATTGTGCGGGATATTCAAACATAGAGTTGCAGTAATTACTTTTCGATGTCAAAATAAAAAACAAAAAATATTGTAAATCATATATTTATAAAGTGTAACGCTAAATTACACTAGGTGTAATAATATACAAAGAAAAAATAAAGTTAATACAAATATATATAAATATATAAATATTTTATTTGAAACATTAGAAAACATGAGTTAATTACATATAAACAAGGTTGGGTAGTGTCTAGTTAAAAAGATAAAAGTTAAGTTAAAAAGTTAAAAAGTTAAATAATTTTAACTTTATCTAGTTACATTTTTAGA